AAATGTATTATTAAAACATAAATATTTGCGTGAACGTTAACAAAACCCCATTTCCTAGATGTTACCTTAGCAGATATTGAATGTATTTGAAGTCGTGTATGCCCAGTCATGACACTTAAAGGGGTCAGGCGCAATGTGGGCAGCCTTTCCTTAAGCACAGGGGTCCTTGGAGTACTTTCCGCTAACAAAGCAGCGTCTAAAATGTCGGGAGAGGTTTATCTCCTGTGGCTCCTCTCTCTATTACAAACGGTGAGTTTATTAAACACTTAAATGATAACGTTGTAGCTTTGGGGAGTGTTCTTTGAGTCGCAGAAAGGGACGTGAAGATGGTCAGATGCTCGTCGTTACCTTCAGTGTAGTGAGCCGCTTTGCCCGGAGCCTCAAAGTGACGTGGCTTAAACCTGAGAGCTGCGTGTGGAAAGTGAAGCTTTGTTTGTTTATAACACCTTTAAAATATGTTACGACTAAGTGGTAGGTCAAATCGTCCGTGTTGACGGAGAAAGACAGATCTTATTTACGACTGATGGTGTTCAAAATGTGCATATCCGGATCAAATCTGTTGTGTAAAGGAGACACACACACACACACACACACACACACACACACAGCCTTTTATTGTGTTAATTATACACCTGAAGTTACCTACAAGACGAGAGCTGTCCACATATATTTAAACATTTCTGTATTATCATATTCTAGAGTAGCCTACTCTAGTTTCCTGAATCTTGAAACCGAAACAAGTTTGACCCACATTGATTAGTTTTAATAATCTTCCGTGTTACGGTTACCTGCAGCCAGTGTCGTCCATACACCGTGAATCATCCTGTTAATGATTTAATGTGTTGGTTACCTGTCAGGCCACATTACCACAACACGGTGAATGGTATCACACAAGAACAGTGCTGACATTATTCATGAACAAGTTGCGGTTAAGATATAGAAATCTAGTTTGATTTTTTTTTTTGCAAATGGTAAGTAAAGTTTACAAAACGCAAGCCATTTACAGCTCAGCAGTTTATAAATTTAACATAATTTTCTGTCTAAGCATATTTATTGTTATTTTTTCTGTTAGTCATAGGACTTCAATAATGCATTGACAGGCATGCCACATTTAGTATTGTCATTTAAGCATGAATGTTTTATTGGTTTGTACAGCATTATTTGATATTCCTCAATTATTTAAAGCACTACATACACATGGCACAGTTAAAGTGTCATATCACAGTCACAGTGTCATATCACAGTCACAGTGTCATATCACAGTCAAAGTGTCATATCACAGTCACAGTGTCATATCACAGTCAAAGTGTCATATCACAGTCACAGTGTCATATCACAGTCAAAGTGTCCTATCACAGTTAAAGTGTCATATCACAGTTAAAGTGTCATATCACAGTTAAAGTGTCATATTACAGCTATAGTGTCATATCACAGTTATAGTGTCATATCACAGTCATAGTGTCATATCACAGCCATAGTGTCATATCATAGTGTCATATCACAGTCATAGTGTCATATCACAGCCATAGTGTCATATCACAGTCACAGTGTCATATCACACAGTAATAGTGTCATATCACAGTCACAGTGTCATATCACACAGTAATAGCGACAAATCAAGTAATAGTGTAGTTTATAAATTTAACATAATTTTCTGTCTAAGCATATTTATTGTTATTTTTTCTGTTAGTCATAGGACTTCAATAATGCATTGACAGGCATGCCACATTTAGTATTGTCATTTAAGCATGAATGTTTTATTGGTTTGTACAGCATTATTTGATATTCCTCAATTATTTAAAGCACTACATACACATGGCACAGTTAAAGTGTCATATCACAGTCACAGTGTCATATCACAGTCACAGTGTCATATCACAGTCAAAGTGTCATATCACAGTCACAGTGTCATATCACAGTCAAAGTGTCATATCACAGTCACAGTGTCATATCACAGTCAAAGTGTCATATCACAGTCACAGTGTCATATCACAGTCACAGTGTCATATCACAGTCAAAGTGTCATATCACAGTTAAAGTGTCATATCACAGTTAAAGTGTCATATCACAGTTAAAGTGTCATATTACAGCTATAGTGTCATATCACAGTTATAGTGTCATATCACAGTCATAGTGTCATATCACAGCCATAGTGTCATATCATAGTGTCATATCACAGTCATAGTGTCATATCACAGCCATAGTGTCATATCATAGTGTCATATCACAGTCATAGTGTCATATCACAGTCATAGTGTCATATCACAGCCATAGTGTCATATCACAGTCACAGTGTCATATCACAGTCAAAGTGTCATATCACAGTCACAGTGTCATATCACAGTCAAAGTGTCATATCACAGTCACAGTGTCATATCACAGTCAAAGTGTCATATCACAGTCACAGTGTCATATCACAGTCAAAGTGTCATATCACAGTCACAGTGTCATATCACAGTCACAGTGTCATATCACAGTCAAAGTGTCATATCACAGTTAAAGTGTCATATCACAGTTAAAGTGTCATATCACAGTTAAAGTGTCATATTACAGCTATAGTGTCATATCACAGTTATAGTGTCATATCACAGTCATAGTGTCATATCACAGCCATAGTGTCATATCATAGTGTCATATCACAGTCATAGTGTCATATCACAGCCATAGTGTCATATCACAGTCACAGTGTCATATCACACAGTAATAGTGTCATATCACAGTCACAGTGTCATATCACACAGTAATAGCGACAAATCAAGTAATAGTGTTATATCACAGTAATAGTGACAAATCACAGTAATAGTGACAAATCACAGTAATAGTGTCATATCACACAATAATAGTGTCATATCGCACAGTAATAGTGTCATATCACAATAATAGTGTCATATCACAGTCATAGTGTCATATCGCACAGTAATAGTGTCATATCACAATAATAGTGTCATATCACAGTCACAGTGTCATATCACAGTCACAGTGTCATATCACACAGTAATAGCGACAAATCAAGTAATAGTGTTATATCACAGTAATAGTGACAAATCACCGTCATAGTTTCATATCACAGCCATAGTGTCATATCACAGTCATAGTGTCATATCACAGTCATAGTGTCATATCACAGCCAGTGTCATATCACAGTAATAGTGTCATATCACAGTCACAGTGTCATATCACACAGTCATAGTGTCATATCACAGTCACAGTGTCATATCACAGTCACAGTGTCATATCACACAGTAATAGCGACAAATCAAGTAATAGTGTTATATCACAGTAATAGTGACAAATCACAGTCATAGTGTCATATCACAGTCACAGTGTCATATCACAGTCACAGTGTCATATCACACAGTAATAGCGACAAATCAAGTAATAGTGTTATATCACAGTAATAGTGACAAATCACAGTAATAGTGACAAATCACAGTAATAGTGCCATATCACACAGTAATAGTGACAAATCACACAGTACTAGTGTTATATCACAGTAATAGTGACAAATCACAGTCATAGTGTCATATCGCACAGTAATAGTGTCATATCACAATAATAGTGTCATATCACAGTCACAGTGTCATATCACACAGTCATAGTGTCATATCACAGTCACAGTGTCATATCACAGTCACAGTGTCATATCACAGTCACAGTGTCATATCACACAGTAATAGCGACAAATCAAGTAATAGTGTTATATCACAGTAATAGTGACAAATCACAGTCATAGTGTCATATCACAGTCATAGTGTCATATCACAGTCATAGTGTCATATCACAGCCAGTGTCATATCACAGTAATAGTGTCATATCAGTCACAGTGTCATATCACACAGTCATAGTGTCATATCACAGTCACAGTGTCATATCACAGTCACAGTGTCATATCACACAGTAATAGCGACAAATCAAGTAATAGTGTTATATCACAGTAATAGTGACAAATCACAGTCATAGTGTCATATCACAGTCACAGTGTCATATCACAGTCACAGTGTCATATCACACAGTAATAGCGACAAATCAAGTAATAGTGTTATATCACAGTAATAGTGACAAATCACAGTAATAGTGACAAATCACAGTAATAGTGCCATATCACAGTAATAGTGACAAATCACAGTCATAGTGTCATATCACACAGTAATAGTGTCATATCACAATAATAGTGTCATATCGCACAGTAATAGTGTCATATCACAATAATAGTGTCATGTCACACAGTAATAGTGTCATATAACAATAATAGTGTCATATCACAATAATAGTGTCATATCGCACAGTAATAGTGTCATATCACAGTAATAGTGTCATATCACAATAATAGTGTCATATCACACAGTAATAGTGACAAATCACAGTAATAGTGACAAATCACAGTAATAGTGACAAATCACACAGTAATAGTGTCATATAACAATAGTGTCATATCACAATAATAGTGTCATATCGCACAGTAATAGTGTCATATCACAATAATAGTGTCATGTCACACAGTAATAGTGTCATATAACAAGAGTGTCATATCACAATAATAGTGTCATATCGCACAGTAATAGTGTCATATCACAGTTAAAGTGTCATATCACAGTAATAGTGTCATATCACAATAATAGTGTCATATCACACAGTAATAGTGTCATATCACACAGTAATAGTGACAAATCAAGTAATAGTTATATCACAGTAATAGTGACAAATCACAGTAATAGTGTCATATCACACAGTAATAGTGACAAATCAAGTAATAGTTATATCACAGTAATAGTGACAAATCACAGTAATAGTGTCATATCACACAGTAATAGTGTCATATCACACAGTAATAGTGACAAATCAAGTAATAGTTTTATATCACAGTAATAGTGACAAATCACAGTAATAGTGTCATATCACACAGTAATAGTGACAAATCACAGTCATAGTGTCATATCACACAGTAATAGTGTCATATCACAATAATAGTGTCATATCACACAATAATAGTGTCATATCACTGTAATAGTGTCATATCACAGTTAAAGTGCCATATCACAGTAATAGTGTCATATCACAATAATAGTGTCATATCACACAGTAATAGTGACAAATCAAGTAATAGTGTTATATCACAGTAATAGTGACAAATCATAGTAATAGTGACAAATCACAGTAATAGTGTCATATCACACAGTAATAGTGACAAATCAAGTAATAGTGTTATATCACAGTAATAGTGAGAAATCACAGTAATAGTGTCATATCACACAGTAATAGTGACAAATCACAGTCATAGTGTCATATCACACAGTAATAGTGGCAAATCACAGTAATAGTGTAATATCACACAGTAATAGTGTGAAATCACAGTAATGGTGTCAAAGTACAGTAATAGTGTCATGGCACACAGTAATTAGTGTAATATTGGGCATCACACAATAATAGTGTCATATCACAGTTATAGTTTCATATCACACTCAATCCTTTCTATTTTGTCCTCTCTCTTTCTCTGTTATTTTTCCTCCTCCATTCAGCTGTCGGCGTACGGCGCCGACCTGTCTTCTGAAGCATGCAGAGAGCTGGGCTTCTCAAGCAACCTGCTGTGCAGCTCCTGTGACCTACTCGGGGAGTTCAGCCTCACCAAGCTCCAGCCTGACTGCGGGCAGTGCTGTCAGCAGGAGGCCCAGATGGAAGCGCGCAAGGTAAGAGTAACAACTGAGCTCAGAAAAGTGCTGAACAGGGAGTGATAACCTGTTTAGATTCAGTCCCAGTGAGGAGTGTTGTTTACAAACATAGAGAATAGTGAAAAGAAACAAGGTCAACGAAAGTGCATGCTGTAGTATGATTAATAGAAAAGAATGTTGTTATTTTTGGCTGCATGACTGAAAGTTGACAATTTTGATGACACCCAAAATATATTTTTTACTATTGACTGTGGGGTCCTTTGCTGTCATTTTTGCTGAATTTAAACAGACAACAAGCTCCTATGTGGATTTTAGTAGCACCCAGGGGACCTCCCTGTCAGACTGTGTCACATTTATTGACAGGATAACACCCACAAGTCTTTGAACTGCTACTTAGACAACCTGGTTGAAGACACACATTGCAGCTATGCATCAGCTCCGAGCTGCCACACACAAACTCTGTCACTGTCTGTCTCAGTCTTTCTCTCTGATCTTTCGAGGCGGTGCTCCTTAACCGCAGCCCAACACTCCCCATGGGGGCCAAGTTTTGCAGTAACAACCCCGCTGTAACCAGTTAGGAGGTGTTAGCAAGGGCTCAATGCTCTGGTGATTACAGCAGGTTCAAAATGGAGTCCCTGCTGGGCTCTGACGGATAAACAGAGTCAACCGATGGCAGGAAAACAATGTAATTTTTCTTTGGTTAAGCAAAGCTCCCAGAGCATGTGTGGTATCCTAGCAACAGCACCTTGGAAAAAGGCGAGCATGCACCTCATTACACCTCCATGATGATAACTCTGTCTCAGATAGGCACTTAACGCAGTGATTGCTCTGCTTCCTTCTCACGATTTGAGGGAAAATGTCAGTTAGACGAGCAATTGGCTGTCTCCAGCTGCACTCTAAGGAGAGCAGCACAAACGACAATGTCACTAAGCACACTTTCTCCTCTGACGGCAACAATTATCTGCCTTGAGAATTCTTTCTCTCTCACTATTGGTATCAGTGCCGTGCCATTAAACCCTCTGAGAAATGTCTTATTCTGCAGCCTGGCCGATTAGGGGGTTTCACTGAGCACGGAGGGCTTTTCAGTCACATTTCTATAAAAGTGTGCTTCTCTGCAGAGCACCCTGTGCATAGCAGCACCTCAGCTTTCCAAGGTGCCACTGTACAGTATCTTTCTGTAGAGCAGTAAAACCTTCCTGAGAGTTTTGAAGACAGTGTACAGTGACGAGAACTGTTTTAACCTTTAAACCTTTTCATTCTAATAGGTTAGGTTTGATGATATTCTTAGTTTTTTTGTATGGTTTACAAATCCCATGAAGAGACCAAATCAGCAATAAGCTGATCATGCTAACTTAGCTTTACCTGTGTTACATGATACAAGAGAGCTTCAGTGTCACACAGCAAGGAATTAGTATTATTATGAACACTTTAAAAATGGGCGGCTGTGGCTCAGTTGGTAGAGTCGTCGCCTCTCAACCGGTGCTACAAGGTCGAGGGTTCGATCCCCAGCTGGGCAACATGTGTCCTTGGGCAAGACACTTAACCCCCGAATTGCTCCCGCTGCTGGCACTGAGAGAAACATTAACGACTGAGTCACCAAAAATGTAGTTTAATGAGTTTGGAAGATAAAATAACAATTAGATGGTCTTTTAGAACAGCTAGCAGCTAACAGCATTTAAGGCAAAGAAAAGTCTTCAGAGGATGTCTGATTTGATGCCTTCAGCGTGTTTGAAATGATTACATAACCTAATCGATTTTGAAACTATTAAATGTGTGGTTATATTTCATCAAAGCTTGTTTTTCTTGTAAGCCTTGTTACATGTCAGGTTGATTTGTAGTTATAATTCTGACTCCTCTATCCGCTTCTGCCAGCAAGGTTTTAGGATGTTTCAAAGTAACAAAGAGAAGAGACACCATGGATTGGAGTTGATTAGAAAGTCAAACTTTCATGTTTGATTTTGGTTTTAAAATCACTGATCGACGGGAGGTTTAGCTCACCAGGAGCGTTTTGAAATGATCTGATGCTTCAATGAGTCCAGTCAGAGTGTTTCTGTCATTTGTTTCCTGCTCTCCGGAGAGACGCGTCTCTGCTCTGTTTGCTCAAATGAAAAGCACGGAAATTGAATTTCAGCAGAGCCGGATTGTTTACAGAGAGAACCCGTGAGGAGAGGAGTTGGGGAGAACATCTCCGCTTTGAAAGCTGGATCAAATTTGCTGTGTGAACCTGACACACCAAGCTGTTAACCGCTCTCCAGCAGAGCGCCGTCTTGAAATACTGCCGCGACACTCCAATTTCCTCTAACTTATTGTATATTGGTGCTCGGGTTTGATTACAAGTGAGCTCCACATAAACTGCCATCCATCAGCTCTGCTCCATATGCACAGGCTCACGGTTTAATGACCCCGAGGAGTCGCCTGGACACGTTTATGAATCAGTCTGCCTGAATCTAATTACTCCTCCAGGGCAGGAGTCCTACCTCTGTGTCCTCATGTGCTTCCTTACATTGTGTTTCTTTGCACACAGCTCTACGCCGGGGCCATCCTCGAGGTGTGTGGATGAAAACTGGGGAGGTTCCCTCAAGTCCAAGGTGAGTTCTCCACTGGAAACTTTTCTGAAATACAGAAACAGCTTAGTCCCGAATCTGAACTCACGCTCTCTGAGACTCTCCTTCTCGATTTAATGGGTTTAAAATGTGTTCCTCCTTCAGCGACCAACCTGTGTGCTTTGAACAAGATGGAGGTGCATGTGACAACCAATTTACATCAATCGGTATTGGCTGATCGTTACCCTGTTGATTCATATCAGCAAAGGATTTAGCATCCACAGATGGCACAGGATGACACATATCTGTTGCGATTGAAATACGGCGAGCAATAAGCCCCATGAGTTATCGCACTGTAAGCTTTCTGCTTTTGGAAACAAATGGCTCAGACGGGGAAATCGGTAGCAACAAAAATAAACTTTCGGTAAGCAAGAACAATGAATTAAGAATCACATTAGTTTTCAAATCAGCTAAATTGTTATTTTGACGATAAAATCAGCATCAGAGCTATTTTTCTCAATCAGTGCATTCCCAGTGTGCAACAGTAGATACAGCCATAAAATAATGACAACAAAGAAAACACAATAATAACACAACACTGACCTTCACATAAAGACTCTTTTTAACCTCCAAACTCCCCCTTAGGTCTTCTTCTAAATTCCACTTAACAAGCAGGATTTCTCCTGAAGTAGTCTTCAGATGATGTAAGGTAAATCATTTAATAGAGTATGTAAAAGATCTGGTCGTTTAAAGTGCTTTGAACCATCTCAAGCACAACTCATTTTAAACAGTTTGGTGTCAAAAAAGTAAAAAAAAAAAAAAAAAGAACAGATTTGTTATGTTTTGTGCAGATATGTTCTTCATGGTGAGGTCAGAACTTGTTAAGAGCTTTTGAAGTGCTTCTATCACCTGTTCCTCCGGAGCAGACCTCCCGTCTCAGCTCAGTGTAACATTTGGTTAATTCAGTGTCAGCTTACGTTGACGGGGGGGGACGGGGGACGTCTGTCTGTGCCATATGGCTGTCGTTTGTTTGCTTCAGCTGGAGCCGTCCTGTGTTCACAACTGTCTGCGCCGCTGTTAACGCTGCATTCTCAGGAGGTTTCGCGGTTGTCACTAATTACAAAACTCAGTGCTAAAAAAGAGAGGCTGATTGAGTGATTGATGAGTCGTCATTTTGTCTCACCGGTGTGTTTTTTTTTTTTGTTTTTCTTTAAATCTGCTCAGCTTTTGTCAGGAGCGAGAAGCCCAAGACGTTCAAAGGTCTTCAGATCAAGGTAGGTGTGATGACTGATGTTGTGATGAACTGTGTTGTGATGGTGTGATGACTGATGTTGTGTTGTAATTAGACACATTAAGCTTCATCTGGAAACAGATCACATTCTCTCAAAGAAGATGCCTTTCCAATATTTCTCTGCATATTCTTCAGTTGTATTGAGGGCAAACCTGCCGTCCTAACACATCCCTCCCTCTCCCCCCCCCCCCCCCCCTCCCACCCTGCAGTACGTGAGAGGCTCAGATCCTGTGCTAAAGCTTTTGGACGATAACGGGAACATGGCTGAGGAGCTCAGCATCCTCAAGTGGAACACAGACAGCGTGGAGGAGTTCCTGAGTGAGAAATTAGAACGGATATAGACACAAGAGACCAACTTTTTTGTTTGTTTAATTTTTATAGTTAAAAGGTCGGTTAAACCAAATTACAAACCCGCTTATGTAATCTAGCCATGCAGATACTTTCTGGTTAAAGTGCTTAGCCTAACAGATTTGTCTCCCAGATTTCTGTGTCAATCTTCAGAGAAATGAAAATACTCTTTGTGGTGTTCTCAGCTCAGAAAAATGATCATCCAAATATTCAGCATTAGGTCTTTTTTCTACCAGAATGAGTGTCCTTGTTACTAAAGAGTAACCCCATTACTGGTGTTCAGTGGAATAATGTTCTGCATAATAAATATGTTCAATGAGAGACACTCATTCTAAAAATCATGGCAGCAGAAGATCACATGTAAAATTTTGTTGGATCCTGAGCAAAGTACACTCATCCCTAGTGAAGTTTTTTGGGGGCAGAAATCTCACGAAACAATTCTTCTTAACTGTGAGCATGTTAACCATAGATATCTGTATGGCTGTGGACAACTGGAGGAGCATTAGAAAATGTATATTTGTAAAACGGTTGCGTTGTTTACCGGTTTGTACACAAATCTCCCTTGATGGATGGTGGTTAAGTTTCTGCTGTAATGACTGTTTTGTATCAGAAAACGTGAATCTCTTATCTAAATTTGACCAATTAAGATATGTGAGTGTGAAAAGACACACTCACAGAGCACACCCAGAATATTGATCCAACCTCAGAGAGAAATCATAGCTCAAATCATGGCTCCATGAGTTTAGAAAAAGACTACTCTGCACATCATGAAGTTTTTTTTTTCCCTGTCTGATATTCTTGTATATCTGTTTTTTTTATAACGCTCATAATGGTGACTGATGGGATTTGTAGTGAGAATGAGTCCTAGTTGCTCTCCACATGCAGGAGTGTACTGAAGCACACGTTAGTGATGACCTCACAGTAAACCAGAACCTGGAATGTGACGTCTGATGTATGTTTGTGTTTATCTGAACCTCCTGCCCTGAAGAGAAACTGGATTTATTGAGGATGCTTGGTTTTTTTTGAGCGAGTGAGGTGACAGTTTAAATATGCAACAATAAACAAAGTCTGAAGGTAATTCTGTGTGCAGATGGGTTTTTTTTTTTGTCTTTAAAGCATATTCAAATCTTAATTGTCGTACAGCTGACTGCAGTAGTTTAAGATGTTTCTCTGACACTCAGGCCAAAGAGATGGATTTGCTGACATCTAGTGGTAAAACAACATTCCAGCAGGGTGCTGCAACAGGTGAACAGCCTGCCTACAAGAAGACAAAAGGAGTGAGAGAAAAACCCCCTAGGGAAGTGGATTAAACAAGTAAAATAATATAACTCCTAAATGAAAACAGTGTGTGTGAAAGGCTTTGTTTACTCTGTTTTCTTAGCTGTCTTTTTTCTCACTTCCTTACATACCTCATGATGGTTTCCTGCACCATAGATTAGTCTGACTCTTACCACGTGTTCTCTAAACAGGAAGGGAAAAAAAACATTTGATCGACCTTTTTGAGTAGGAGGTTGAAATTGCTGGATTTGATTGTATAGATTATCTGTCTTGCCGCTCTCGGGTTGATCCTCACCCAGGCTTGTTTGGGTGTTTCATAGATCTGCAAGTAACCGAAAAGCAAAAAGGAACACATGAAAAGGTGCAACATAAGCCGTTAGATACACGTTTGAAAAAGCTTGATATGAATCTACATCAGTAGATGAGCATTAAGGGAGTGGTTATGTGGACTTCAAGTGATTTTATTTGGGTCCATCTTCATCATTTGCTCCCTTTACAAATACATTCCGTGAAATCCCTTAAGTTCAGACTGCCAGATATAAACAACTAGAGATAACAAACAGTGCAGGGCTCAATGTGTATATGTCAAAGCATCAAACATCACTCAGCAAAACCAGAAGTGATGTAAGCCCAACACCAGAATAAAATAGAAAGCTCCCTGCCCTTTGTTTATTTGAGTTCTGTTTGTGATAACTGTTTTGACTAAGTCTCCGCCGTGCTGTCGGCTACATGGGACACAAAGCGCCACTGCTGATGCAAACACTGATAGGAATGAACTCATCAACACAAAGACTTTGAGGATGACAGAGACAACAGAGTAAAGTGAGTTTTTTGTTTCCATCCGATCTTTGTGTAATAATATTTATTTATTCTAAAGAGTCCTTACTCCCCCCCTTTAAAGTTAAAGTTCTATGCAACCTCTCAATAAAACATATTTATTTTACAGAGCTAATCAAAGCCTTTAAACAAAGACCTGCTCATAGTTTTCTAAAAGAACTCTTGTTCACTGTTTTTTTCTGGCGGCTTCTAGGTGTAAAACCAACAGGTACCGGCTGCTCTCATCATCCTTCTTGGTTTAAAAGATTATTTGCAAAATTAAAGAAAAAGGTCCGCACACTGTCCAGCTCCTAAAGGGCCATTTTATTTAACCATCCAATGGTTGGATCTACAAGATCTTCCTCAGGCCAGGTTTGGTTTTCTCTTTTGCTAAATATTATTCTAATACGATGCACCAAATATATTCAGGGGAATATATTCAGAGAGAACATTGAACTATGTTGTGTGCACATCTTTAATAGACCCAATGCGAGACCAGATGAACAGACCAAATGAGACCTATCATTGCCCCATAACCACAAGTAGTGACTAACTCCTGAACTTAGAACTTCCCAATCTACCTGCTGTATCATTATTTCTATTATCACAGAAAACAGAACAAAGGCTCTTTTGAGAGCAGAAACTGGAACACCAACAAACTCGACAGCATCACAGTGAAGTCGACTTCTCCCTGGTCACAGTTTGTACCTGTTGTACTTTTAACAGCTGAACTTAAGGGGGCTTTTCGCCGCGTAAATACGAGAGTCTTGTCCTACCTGAGTGAGCCCAGGATGAGTTTGGGGCTATGAGTGAATCTGGGGGAGGTGTCCTCTCACAGTCCTAAACAAGAGTCAACATATCCTCCTGCTGGTCTTTGATGGGCCACTTGTTCTTGGCAATAGCTGCACCAATTAAG